TTCGTTGGTTTTCGGATTTTTATTTTTTATAATATAAATTATAAAAATATATAAATATATAATAAAATATTGAAAATATATAAAAAATATTATATTTTAAATAATAAATAATATATCATATATTATAAATATATTTTTATATATATAATGCATATTTATTAATTTATAATATATAAAAAATATATATAATATACACAAATATATATAAAATATATAGAAATATATGTATATTGGTCAGTTCGGTTAACCATCGGTTTTCTATATTAGTTAACTAAAACAAAACCGATACCTTCGATTTTTTAAAAACATCGAACCGAAACCGAACCAACTGGTTTGGTTAAACGATTTTTCGGTTTGGTTTTGATCGGTTTTTTCAGTCGGTTCAGTTTTTCAGTTTTTTTTTTTTTTGCTCACCCCTAGTTTGCACTAAATTTTGAAATTTGAATGCATTTCAAACTATAATAATTACTTTAAAAGGTATATTGGACTTGGTGAACTTTTCTTGGTCCTAAAGTAAGAGTGTAGAGAATGTAGTTATGAAATATGAATGTTGAATTTTGAAAAGTAGCAAATGACCATTTTTTAACCTTGGATATGAAAAGTTTGTTTAACCATTTAACAAATTCATTAAAAATAATTGAATATTTTTAAAGAATCAATCATTTGATAATTAATTAATTATTAACTATTAATTAATTAAACAATTCATTAAATATTTTTATTTTAATAAGTACATCCAATAATTATATAATTTTTTTAAATAATTAATAATTCTAATAATTTAATTAAATAATCACATAATAAGATACTAATTATTTATTATTATGAAATATTTATTACATAATAATTAATAATTAACAAAAATAATAAACTAAATAAATAATTGATAAAATATAAGTATTAATAATCAATTAATTATTAATAGACCCAAAAAGTCAACCCAACCCAACCTGAAAAAGTGGGTTAGGGTTCCCTATCCAATGACCCAAACTAAAAGATGGCATGGTTTGACTTGATTCGAAGAGAATTTAGGTTGGGTCATGGGTGACCGCTAGGTCACCAATTTTTCCAAATCAGCATTAACCCAAGTGGTTAAACCCATATTTTTCATAAAAATTATTAACTTGGTCAAAGATCAATTGACTCAGATGGTTGAACCATTGATCGTGGGTTGACCCTAACCTAAATGTTTAGGATTAGGGTCTAGCCTTTGCTGATCCAGCCCAACTTGAAATAACCAACAAATCCAACTCGATCTTGACCTGACTTGACCTGATTGCTAGATCTAATTATTAAAATAAAAATATTTAAGCATTTAATAAATGATTCAGTATTACTTACAAAATGTTTTGTCATGGTTTTCAAACTGTCGTTGACCTGGATGGTTGGACTGTTAGGCCTAATAAACCGTCTAGGCAATCGGTTCTATTTGACCCCAAACCCAGTCTTATATCAAAAAGCATTGACTTAGTCAATGACCCGTTGACTCGAGTGATTGAACTATCGATTCATTCAACCTGATGAATGGTTTTGACCGTTTTTTTTTTGTCATTTCAATTATTTTTTGTTTTTAAAATTGTGATGGGCCATCCATTTAGACTAGATGGTTGAACCACTAACCCAGAAACCAGTGTCCAAAGCGATTCCAATTTCGGGTTAGTTTTTAAAACATTTGGTTTTATTATTTTGTTATTTTTATTAATATGTTAACATTTAATATTATTTCTTTTATTTTGTTATTTTTGTTAATAACATTATTATTGATAATATTATAGAAAGAAGGAAGAAGGGGATTATTGTTCCATGCCCACGTGGGGTCCTCAAAGGAGAAAGTGTTTTAAGGGTATATTTGGAAAAGAAAAACAACATTGTGTGAAAGGATTGGTGTGATCCGTACATTAAGGCTAAAGATTAAAGAGTGAACCAAACGCTCTTAAAATGCAATTTTTGTACATTACCCTTTAAGACTTCATCGTTAGGCACTATCGAACAGGCCCAAGTTAGTCAAGGGACCAGCCACTTCTCCCACGATTAGGGGTGTCAATTGACCAATTTTGGATTGGACCCAGTTCAAACCAAAATCACTTTGGAGGGATTGGACAGACCAACAAGACATATTGAATTGGACCAGTCCAAACTTAATGGTCCAAAGTATTTATTGGATTGGATTGGACCTGGTCCATCCATAATGAATTTCTATTGGATTGGATTGGATTGAGCCAATATCTAATCCATTGAAATAGAAGATAAGAATATAGGTGTCAATGGACCACATTTTGGTTAGAATTAATCTAAATTAAAGTAAATTTGAACAGATTGAACAGTTCAAACATTGAACTAGACTGGTCTAAAATGGTCCAAAATATCCATTGGATTGGATTGGACCTAGTCCATTTGTAATAGATTCACATTGGACTGGATTGATTGGACCAAATCCAGTCCAATTAACATCCCAAACCACGACGACGTTCTCACATGGACAACATTTAAAAGGGGCTATGCTGGCTAATCCCTACAAATAAGTAGAAGAGAGTTCAACAAAAAGCACTTCGCCAGTGAGGGTAGGAAATAGCCGACAAAGTAAAATCATCACTAGAGAATGGCGTCTCCAAAAAAACAATAGCGTTGAAATGCCATCATAGTCCCTTTTAAATGGTATTAAAAATCTAAATCTGTTAATTTGCTGTCAATGTGAGAATATCATCTTGGGGAGAAGTTGACTTCGCCGGTGAGGGTAGGAAATTGCCGACAAAGTAAAATCATCGCTAGAGAATGTTGTTGCTGAAAAATAGTGTTGAAATGCGAGCATAGTCCCTTTTAAATGTTGTCCATGTGAGAACATCATCATGGGGATAAGTGGTTGGTCCCTTGACTAACTTAGGCCATGTTTGGGAGTTCTTGTGTTAAAAATAAGTGTTTATTCGATTAACCACTTATTTGCATTTGGCACCCAACTTTTTCAAGTGTTTATTTTAAAAAATAAGCACTTATTTCATATTGGGCGTTTGGTAGTCTTTTTCTCCAATGAGCACTTAAATAAGCTTTTGTGACTATTTTGTCTTTCATTTTTTTTTCAAATTTTCAAAATACACCCTTATGAAAATACCTTTATTAAATTAGTTTTATAAAAATACTTTTATGAAAGTATTTTTTCGAAAGCACTTTTATGAAATTAATTTTATAAAAGTACTTTTACGAAATTACTTTTATAAAATTCAACTAGGGATCATTTTGGAAGAAAAAAAATGAATAAGTGCTTATTGTATAGGCACTTAAAAAGAGCTGGAAATTTGGGCTTAGAACATAAGCCCTTATTTTTAAAATAAACACTTATTTTGGGCTTATTTCCCAAACACCAATAAGTGCTTAATGGTGCGGTCCCGACCCAAATAAGCACTCCCAAACATGGCTTTAATAACTTATACAATATTAATCAGATCGTATAAATTTAACTAACAAAAGGGTACGCAGTTTTGGCATTATGTAATGTTTAACTAAAGGAATACTGATGGAGATGGACCCAAGTGTCTATTTTTGAGAGTTCAAAGTACTCAAGTGTTGAATTGAAAGTTCACTACCCCAAAAGTACAAGGTACATATAATTTACCTAAATAAAATAAATCCTAGGGAGGAATAAGTAATTTATCTATATCTTAATTGCCACCGTGCACAAGAATCTATGCGTGACTATAATATGCTTCTCTCACATGAATAGAGTGGACCCAATCAAAATAAATGCAGTAAAAAAAGATAAATTGTTGAAACCCCCCTAAAATTTTTTTATCATTGTTGAAATCTCCCCTAAAGTTTAGTAGTTGCAATTACCTCCCCTGAACTTTCTAACACAGTTATAAATAGACCCCATTTTTCTAACCAGAGGCACAGAAATGTCCAAAATATCCATACAATTACTATAAGGCTGATTTACACAAAAAAAAAAAAAAAAAAAATACAAACTTTATAAACAACAAAAAAAATAGAGAAATTATGCATCTTTACCTTTGAGCTTGATATCAAGGGCAAATTTGGAAAATAGTTCTAATTCAAAAAAAATGGTTTGAAAGGTTTTGGTTGACAATTCATATGAAAGAAAATTTGGAAAATAAACATTTTTGTCTAATTTAGAAAGTTCAGGGAGGTGATTGCAATTATCAAACTTCACGAGAGGTTTCAACAATTACCCAAAAAGTGTGATTTTTCATCATGTACAACCTCATTCTTACTGGCCACCAATTGAGTTCAAGGTTTAAAATTTCAATACAACATGTTTGGCATCCATTACAATCCCAAATAGGATGCAACTTAAATTCCGTCTATTTTGAGGAAGACGAAGACCTCCAAAGAGATCACTCTCAATTACCAAAGATAATTCTCATAATAATCTAATGAAGAGGAGAATTACAACTTAAATACACTCTTGAACAATAACAAATTCCTAAAGACTTGATCTTCAACAACCTACGTATCCCACTGAATGCAACCACTCTCTACGTAACTACCAACATTGACCCCACAAGACCCAACGTGAATGCGGCAGTACATGGACTTACAAGGTCTCTAACCGTCTCAATTAGTGCGTAAAGATTTCAACTAACAACCTTTTTATTCTCTCCCTAATCCCTAAATAAGTGGGCTCACTAATGGATATGATCATTTTTTACCCCAAAAAGAAAAAAAAAAAAAAAAAAACTACTTCTGCTGGATGCATTGCTAAGTGAGAAATCTTTGGCTTCCACAGGGTTCTTCCTGCAAAGCACCCAAAACCTACGCTGTTACAACTTACAGGGAGAGCCCTTTTGATAGCCCAGGCTGAGAACTAGTCTGTCGGACAGCCCAAGTTTTTCTCTCACAGGACCCATTTAAATACGAACACGTCATTAGTGGAAATCAATTCAAAATATTACGTGGATTTTTTTAAATTTCCATTGCTGGTGTTTCCGTTATTTCATATGGGGTTGCAAGTTGCAACAGAAGATGTGCACTGAACAAAAAAAAAGAAACGACATTCAGGGTACTGAAAAATAGATTGGCAGGTAGACCTTCTATCGTTACGGTGGGAAAAGAGATAAGAGAACAGGGATTTCATGGCGGCTTCCAAGCTTCAAGCTTTCTGGAACCACCCAGCCGGCCCTAAAACCAGTTCGTTGACTCCCCTTATCATCAAATTCGCTTATAATATACTGGTTTTCTGCTTTGGTTGGCAACCTCCTACTTCTGTTTCTAGATCAATTCAACTATGTACTGTAGCTTTCGATGATTTTTCTCGTCTTATCGATTACGAGATCGATCTTTAATTCTTTGGCAGGGTTTTATAGTGGTTTCATGTTTGACTGTATTAAATGGATGCGACTTATTGCGAGTTGTTTATGCATATTTAGCTATGAGGAACACAATTCCCGATTTATGAACCTGTAATTACGAAATGGTCAAAATTATAATTTAGAGGATGTCAAAATGGTAGCCTTATACTCAATATATACTGTAGTAGTTTTAGAGATATTAAATCTTAAGTCATAGACTATAATCTGTCAATCCTTATAGAAAACGTCAAAATTGCATTTGGTTATAAATTGATAGGATATCTTCTATAGGAATTTCTTTTTATCAGTATGGGAAGGTTGAATCATATACTATAACAGATATTGCTATTGGATTAAAATGAAACTAAATCTATGGAAAGGAACAATACTATTAAGAGGTTCAGAGATCAAGCAGTGTAACATAATTGGATACTTTGTTCTATAAGCAGAGAAAAGCAAACTGTTGTGCTTTATTGTTCATATATTACATTGACACTGTTTCTATGTCAATAATAGTTGATAAGTTTTAAGTCGATTACTTATTATTTAATACAAAGGCATCATACTGCCCATAAATAAAATTTGGTAATAATGGCAAGTAAAACAGAGATGTATACTGGCATCATATGCTAAGAAAATTTTCACATGAAGGAGTTGGTTAGACTCAAGTTTCCTCTTAGGTCATTTTTATGCTTGTTAACTGATTATTTCTTCTTCAATGTTTTCCTCTTGGTGATTTGGTTAAGGCATGTGTTTGTGACAATTGAACATTGACAATATATGGTTGGGAGCTAAGAAAATGTTTAATGAAACAATTAATGAAGTGTTCAATAGAATATCTAACATAATGCTTTTTGGGTGTACTGCATTTTTAATTCTCTATTAAGGCCATCATATGTAAATAAAGGTCTATGCAGCAATTCAATTGAATGATATGAAGCTTAATTAGGAGTTCATATTTTCATATACTGAACATGAATTATGTTCAGTATATTTAAATATTAATTTTGTTGGATACTTCTTGTATGCATAATGGTATACTTTCCTAATTGCAGTTCACTTCTGGGCTCCAACTTTTAAATGGGGTATTAGTATAGCAAATGTTGCTGACTTTTCTAAACCCCCTGAAAAGCTTTCATATCCTCAGCAAATTGGTATGTATCATTTTTATTGCTTTTCTGTTTTTTTTTTTTTTTGGTGTGTGTGTGTGTGAATGTTAGCAAGGTGGCTGGAATTACCAACTGACCAAAAATGATGAATTCCTAATAAATTTCTTATGTTTTCCAGCCGTTACATGCACTGGATTTGTCTGGTCACGCTACAGCACAGTAATTACACCGGTAAGGATGACCATGTGGAAAAACTTCCAGATTTAATATAAATTGTAGTCTATTACTTTTCAGATCTTTGCAACAAATATTTGTGACATTGGTGTTCCCACACTCCTGTTCCATGACTGTAGACTCTACTATTCTTGCTTGTTCACTTATTCATTTGAGAGTTATCATAGCAAAAGCTTATCTTGCACATCACTATAAGGTTCTCTCTCTCTCTCTCTCTCTCTCTGTATATATATATATATATAAAGAAAACTTTACTAGTTAAGTAACTTTTTCTGCTTCATGAATCATGACATGGGTGAGTTTTGCATTAGTAATTGACCTTATTAAGTGATCCTCTTAATTAGTTTATATGGTATGCTTTTAAGCAATTTTATGCAACTCTTCAATATCTCACCACATAAACAAGGTAGGACCCATGGATTTTTTTTGTTATTTTTGCATAAATTCATTGTTTACTATTGTTCCTCTTTGTCTTATTTGATATTTCTTCCACTTCTCTCCAAGCACAAGGTCCTATAGATACAGGACAATCCTGCCATTGTAGCTGTAAACAAATTGTGTTTCAGACTTCAGATTGGACACACCTAGATTAGAATACGATCTTATTAAGATTTGGATGGAATTGAGTCTTACACATTGTATTTATATCCTTATTTCAGACTCGGATAATATATACCATTAATAAATTAAACCAGAATGTTATATTGTTAATAAAGTGAATTAGGGATAAATTTGATATTATATATCGCTAATAAAGTGTTAAAATAACTTCCATGAGACTTGTACTTATGACCCTTTCACAAGGTTTTTTTCATTGGCAATGTTTACAAAAATACATTCTTAAATCAACTTTGGTATACATGCTATATTTATGTATACATATGCATATCAGCATATATATACATATAGTTGGAACTGATTGGGGTGGATCCATGTTCAACAGTTCAACCTGATTATAAATGGATCAGATATTTGAGATCCAAAACTGGCTTTACTCGGATCGAATTTCAGACTTGGGCTCTGACAAATTGATCCCTATTGTAGCCCTACCTGCTACTCTCTTGTGCATTCTGAAGAATAGCTCTTTCCAAGATTTTCATTTTTAACAGGTATTGGTTGTGTTCTACCCAAGTATGTATTAATGCAGAGATATGTTTAGGAACTGCTTGAGAGTGTGCCCAAATGTCTGATTTCTGATTAAAGAAATCATAAATTTTCTTAGAACCAAACCCCACCTTGAGTGTTATGATCTAGGCCAGCTCATTTTAAAGTTTCCAGGGAAAACAGTTAGGGTTGAAATGGATTCAGATAATAAATGACGTGAATGATTGAAAATTAGGATGGCTGCTGGGTTTAAGAAGGCTGAATTTGAGTTTGACAGAAATTAAGAGGAATTGGAGAGTGGATTGGGGCTGGTAATATATGTCTGAGAATGAATCAGGTGGGATAGAGCAAAAGTTGGGTAACTTGATTAAGGTTTTATAGAAATAAATGTAGCAAATGTTAGACCTTGGCTTGGAGTTAATATACCACAAAATCAAAGTTGAATATAGTCACCCTGAATAAAAGAAAACAAATGAATCCAGTTTTGCCATATCATCAGGACCCATGACCATGAGAATTTAGCAAAAGTTTTAGTGCTGACTCCCAATCTGACACAACCCTTCTCGAGAAAGAGATCTTTAAAAACAATGTCTATGAATTAAGGGAGTGAAGAGATCTTAAGTTTCCTTGTAGAAGGATTCCCATAGCACCTACCTCGAGAAAGAGATAAATGGCATTAGGCCTCTCTAATATGCTATTACCATGCATCACACTAAAGCATCAAACTAAATGGACTTAAAGGAAGCCTTCTTCTTTCACTTCTTTTGAAAATGATAAAATATGGTATATATTTCTTTGTATCACAAAACTCTGTACACTAGAAACCATGTACACTGAGGGTCCATACAAGAGATCAGGTTGTACAAATTCATTTCATAAAAGTCAGTTTCATCCAATGAGAGAAGTAAAGTTAAAGAAAGAGGAGTGAGGAATATACCTGAATAATTTATGCAGCGATAAGATCTGAGAGAATCCACCTCTCTTCTAAGGATCAATTGTTTCATCAAATATTAATTCCCACAAAAGAAAACATGGACCAAAAGTTTTTCCTCTTATGCTGAACCCTTTAGTTTACCAGCTTGAAGATAAACCTTTTAAGTTATATGGGAAGCATCACTGCAATCTAAACATATCCATCAAATAACTCCACAAGGAGGAAGTGGCCCTGCAGCGGATGAAGTGATGGTTGGTAATCTTCATATATTGTAGGAATATAGGACACAATTAGTGTTGTTTACTACAATGCCTTGGTCATTCAGGTTATCAATTGTTAAGCATTTGCCCTAAGTTGCTGACTAGACTGTGAATGCCACTTTAGATGGCACAACAAGGCACCAAGCTTTAATGCTTGAGTTAGGTCTAGACCCTGAAAGTAAACTGCAGGCCCTGCTGGTCAGTCTTCAGCATCTACCCTTGAAATGCCTGGAAGTAGAGAGTTTGATGCTTATGGATATATCATTATATCTGTTCAGGGAATTCCAATAGATGCAGACCTACATCATAGGAATTCCATTTACTTAAGTTCTTCCCCCCCCCCCCTCCCCTCCCAATTTTTTCTTACAAAATATGTATTGTTGGCTAAATAAAGTTCCTCTAGAAAATTGGATGTTGCGAGTACTTTTAAGTTTTAAGCTTCTGGTGCTTCTTCTCAGATTGTATATCAATTTATAACTGGGTTCAAGATTTTATATTTTTGTGGTGTCACCTGAATAGTGAGGAAAAACAAAATGGTACCTAAAATGCATGCCTTCACATCATGCAATTGATCATACCTTAAATAATTGTAATAGAAATATCTCAATTTTATTTATGTAACACTAGTTGTGAAAGCTTATTGAATTTTACCCATTTATCTATAGTGCAATGGAAAGATATAGAATGCCTTATTTATCATATACTTGAAACACAAATTTGTTGAGTAATTGTGATTTGTGAATATGAAGGAAGAAAGCTTCTCATCCATTCTTTTTTTTTTTTTTCTCTTTACTTTGTAGAACCATTCTCTGTACGTAGTTTGCACTTTGCAGTTAGTTCTGATCTTTGGGTATATCATGTTTGGATTGCAGAAAAACTGGAATCTTTTCAGTGTAAACGTTGCAATGGCCGTCACAGGGCTTTACCAACTTGCACGCAAAATTCGGTAAGCTACAGAATTGGGTTCATGGTGCTCATCTTTGAATATGTCAAACATTGTGCACTAATTGCAGCTTATAGGATGGAAGAAGGTCCTCTATTCCTTAATCCTTATCTTTCACCTTGGGAATTGAGTTTTTTTTTTTATTAAATTGAGGGGGTGGAGGAGGCATTTTGTTTTGTCTCGTCACCTGACTTTCTGTTTATTGCTTCAAGTTGAAGGTGGCAATTCTAACACGCTCTGATCAATCTCTTTCAGGCATGATTACTTTTCCGAGACAGAAGTGATGGCTGCCTCAAAAGAACATTGACCAAATATCTCTCTGGACTTGTTACGGTATTATAGGGGTGTTGAACCCATGTTGACTACTGCTGATAAATGATTTTTTTTTGGGGGGCGTAATGAATAATTGTTGTGACTGGGCTTGTTTATTCTTCCACCCTGAGACAAACAGTGCAGGGTTCACTCACTTCACTGTGTAATCTTTATCTCTTATTCATGTTGGACCCAATTGGGTGGTAACTTTTGGATGCCGAATATTCCCAAAATCGATCCGGGTTGGGCATACGGATACAGGATTGAAAAATATTTGGGTGGAATAGAAAATGAATTGAACAGAATGGAGTTGTGAATAGGATTCATCATTCATGATGACAGGGTTTAGTTGATGATGATGATGATGAAACGATCAATATATAAAAAAAAAAAAAAAAAAAAAAACACAGTACGATACATAATCATGGATTTCAAACAATTCATTAGAGAAGGGCAATTAGAAGATGGGTTGTCATTTTCGGGGTCACTAAAATGTTTTTTTTTTTTAAGCAAAGGATATCCATTGGAAATCAGAATTACGGATACAAGAGAAGACCCCTTGAGATATGAGTTGTGCCTCGGTGAGAGGGGTCTAGGGATCAAAATATAAGTTCTATTTACATTGGCCCTTTTTGCTATATCATGAGCAGAGGCCTACATCATTCCTGTTTATATACAAAATTTTCAGATCTACAAAAAAGGAGGCAGAGATTTGATATACTCAATCAGTGCTTGCTCGTTCCATCTTATGCTTCCTACCGTTCCTCTAAGCTTAAGATCTCCTTTGCATCTGACATAATGGTGGCTTTGCTGATACCGAGTAGAATAAGCCATCTCAGGTCTTTGATGATTGCCCAGAGCTCAGCTTCTAAGGCATTAGTGGCATTGCACTGCTATCCTTCTGCAAAGCAAATATCGTGTGTGTAAATATATATATATATATAAACCTGTGGATGCTGAATTAGTTGTTGGGTTCCAAGATCCATCAACTATCGCTAGTGTATGGGAAGCAAGGGGTAGGTTGTGAGTGGAGAACTCATTGTGTGCAGATTGTTGGAGAGGCTGGGACCATATTTAATCTTCTGTGTTTGGAACATATAGATTTGCTTTTCTCATAACTTCAAGGGGGTCCGGGGACTTTCCTTTGAAAATTAATTCATTTCTATGGTCCCATATAGCCCGTAGGATGGCCAAAATTCTAGCCAAAGAGAATTCACTGAGATTTTTTCTGTTTGGGTTCCATTCTAGCCACCAGGTTAGGAAGTCGGGTGTGCCCGAAACTGTGAAGGCCTCTGGGTTAAACCCGGGGGTCACTAAAATGTTATATACTAGAACCTGGAGGGTTTCTATATGTTCAAACATTAGAACCCCTCTTAGTATATTTATCTTTGAAATATGTGACTGAAAAATTAAAAGAAAAATGAATGTCGCTGTGAGAACCATATTGAAAGATGTGGTTGCCAACAAGAGGTGTATATCTTGAAGTTGAATAGCCCTTTCCTAGGAATCAGAAAAACGAATCTGATTTGCTTCGCGATAGATATGCCAGAAGGTAGGGCTGTTCATAAGAAGGCCCAATCCGACCAAACCAATCAATCTGGACTGACCCAACCCGAGTCGGTCGGGTTTTCATCAGCACCGATCGATTTCGGGTTGTACAAATTCATAAACCGATGGTTTGGGTCGGTTTCGGTTTTTTTGTGTGAAAATCGAAACTGACCCAAACCGAACCGACTTAGTTCCTACTTAACTATTTAAATATATATTTTTTATTTTAAATTAAATCGACCTAATCTATTTAAATATATATATTTCAATTTTAATTTAAATATATTTTATATTTAAAACTGTTAAATAAAGATATTTCAGTTTTACATAAAAACTTGACAACCCAAACTTGCACCACACAGGCACATGGGCCATGGGGGGCATGGATGAACTTAAAACCGAAACCGACCCAACCCGACTCAAACCGACCAGGTCAGTTTTGCTTAACACTGGGCCGGTTTCGGTTTCCATCTCAGGTAACCCGACCAGGTCGAATCGGTTGGAAAAACCTCAATAAACCGACCCAACTCGACCCGTGAACAGCCCTACCAGAAGGAGATGCTTGAACTAAACTCAGTCTTGAGGAAGAGACACTCACTGATGATGCTTTCCAATTTCCACAAGGGCTTTACTCTTTCCTTGAGGCAGTCAACCATGAGCTTCAAGTCTCATTCAATAATGATAGGGGAATCCTTAAAATCCAAAGCAATATTAATGGCCTCCCAAGCAGCCCATACCTCAACTTGATTAATTGAAAAGACCCCAATATAATAGGCTTTGAGATCCAAAATAAAACCCATATGGTCCCTAGCAATGCACCCAATGGAGCACCAACTATCTGACTTGATTTGCAGGATGCATCATAATTAACTTCGATAGTCCTAGGATTGAGATTGTGCCATCTTATAAAATTCCATTCTTTAGAAATCTCATTGGGACCAGAAGAAAAACAAGATCTGATTTCTCCCCAATAAGCAAGAGTCCTTTCTACAATAATTTGAGGATGAGCAGATTTATTATTAAAGCACATGTCATTTCTATTCTTCCAAATAAACCAAAGCAATACTACCAACTTTTCTATAACAAACTGTTCACTCTCAAAGCACTGGACCACCAGTCATTTATCGAATTATCATTAGAACTTGGAATCGGCAGCAAGGATCCCACCCTTAACCAAATTTGCTTAGTAAAAGAGCACATAATAAACCAATGCTTAAATGTTTCATTTTCATTGCAAAATTCACATTTGGGATTCAAATTCATGCCTCAAGAAAAATGAGCTTACTTTTAGTTGGAAGTTTGTCATTGAGTAGGAGGAATAAGAATACTTCAATTTTTTTATGAACCTTAAGATTCCAAAAAGACCTTTGACAACTAGCACCAAAACCACTTTCACCATTCCGACTACACTCTTCATTGTAGGCCAATTTTACAAGTTAAATTCATCTTTTATTGGTAGATAAGGTAATTAGGCAGCTGCACACTTGGTCGCTAGATCACATCGAAAGGTTTTGTGCAAAAACTAAATTTTGTTGATACCCCACCCCTGTGGTTATCAGAAATCCTACAACAGGACAGGAGCAAGGCTTCCAATTAGGATATTCCTCTATTGAGTCAAGTGTAGTTGGCTTTTAACGGTTGTAGGTTTTAATCTATGTCATTTTCGTTTCTTTCCTTTCTGGTTTTAGATTTATTGTTGTTTTGATTTTGTTAATCTGGGGGAAAGTTGGTTAAGGGGAAAATTTACCAATTTTTTTTTTGTGTTTGCTCCCATGTAGGTAAATAATTTTTCCTACATAGGGAAAATGTTAAAACAAGCTTGACAAAATTGTCCATTAAATAGGCTTTAAAAATAAAAGAAAACAAGGATATAAAATAGTAACACAAAGAAATTAACCCGACAAAATACTTACTTGACAGAAAAGAATGGGTAAATGCAATTACATGGATAAGTGTTAGAGGAGAAACATTGTGCATTTAACCAAGTAAATAATTTATCCAAAAGACAAGTATGGCTTGGTGATAAAATCTATTTTTCTTTAATCAAGAAAAAAATAACTTTAATGTCAATTTATTTTGAATAAATACTCAATCTTCGACTAGTATTTGAAGGGGTTAGAAGAATAAGTTATAGACTAAAAAGAGCATGGGTTAAATGACTTAACATTCTAATTTAATAATGGATATGGAACCATATCAGAATGGGCAAATGAGGTTCTTGTAATCGACTCCATATACATTGGTGGATCTATTTTGAAGTTAGTGTGGGCAATTCCCTATATAGTATGCGTCAAATAAAATTTAGTTTCTTAAATGGGATCCTTTTTTATAGGAGAATAAGTAAAAGATAAAGAAAAAATATACAAGAATGGCACCCATGTAGACCAAGTTATGAGGTTTGGGATTTAGGGTTTTAACTTTTACTTTTGTTTTTACTTCATTTCACATCCCTCCTCAACAGCTCAGTTTTATTTCTCTACTCTGTCCCCTTAAACCTAGAGATGGCAGTTTTACCCTATCCTTTTTACTAGGTACCCCAACCTCCCTAACCTAATTAGGTTAGGGATGGAGATTGTCTTCATAGGGATGGGGATTTTATAGGGATATTGATGGGGAACAAGGACTAAGGATGGGGAGTGAATCTTTATTAGGAATGGCAACAGGGAGCCTCTCCCCATCCCCGCTAATGGGGACAAGGTTATTCCCATCCCCGTCCTCGAGGGGATCCCCACTCCCTGTGATTTTTTATAATGTCAACTATTTTGTTTTTGTTTTTTATTTTATTTAAAATAATTAGAAATTACAATCATATTAAAAAATATTCAAATATATTCAACCATATTTTTAAAACTAGTAATATGTAGATGCATATATAGATATATACATCTATATTACCTATAAAAGTGTGAATAAGGCATTGGCTTCTAGAATTTTTCTTTACTAAAATACCCCTTCTATTGAATTTGGTTCACCTTCATTGTAAGGGTAGAAAATGTAATTAAAATAATACTATTAAATACATTCAATTACCTCTCATTAAGTCTCACATTTAAGTCATTAAATAAATCACATCCTCTCTCATTGAATCCAACATTAATACTTTTGTTTCTCACTATTAAATTCTAATAATAAATCTATACACAACAATTATTAATACAATGAAATTTGATATTTTTAAAATGAACCTAGAAATGAAATCATATTTTTCCATCTAGGTGGTGGGTAAGTAATTCAACCATTTGGGTCAAATGGATAATTCCATGATCTCACAAATGAATAATAAAAATTTAGAGATACAAAAAATATAGAAAATAAAGAAATTTTGAAAAAAAAATGGACACAATTATATTATTATATATTTGTCATATTAAAAAAATAAGTATGATAGGATGGACATAATTTTATTAACAATTTTCCTATCTAGGGGGTGGGTTAGTGGTTCAACCTTTCGGGTCAAACGGGTTAATTCATGATGTATAATTAAAAATAAAATTTTTAAAATAGAATAATACAAAAAATACAAAACAATTTTGGGCACATCTATTATAGGGGTGAGCATAATTCAGTTAAAACTGAATTGAAAATTTTGGTTTATTTTTTTTAGGGTTTTGGTTAATTTGGTTTTTAGAATTAGAAATTCGGTTAACCGAATAAACTGAACTTTTGTATATCATATGCAATATATAATATATAATATATAACATAATATATATTAATATATAATATAATGAAAATTGCTTTCATAATATATATTATATGTTATATGTTATAATGTATATAATATAGTATATACATTATTAAAATCTGGTTTTAATTTAAATAACTAAAAGCCAAATCGAAAATTTTAGTTTTTCTATTATTCAGTTTTGATTTGGTTTTAAAAATTTTCAATTTATTTTATTTGGTTTCTAATCGAATAAACCGAATGCTCACCCCTACATCTATAATATTATATCTTAGTCATATAAATAAAAAATAAGTATGATGAATAATAATTATTTTATTAGTGATATAAATTAAATGCAAATTTTAAAACCATTATGAAAATGAAACCATTTTCATATATAGGGGGTGGATTAGTGGTTCAACCTTTTAGATCAAATGGGTTAACTCATGATGTATAATTAAAAATAAAATGTTTAAAATAGTATAATACAAAAAGTACGAAACAATTTTGGGCACAATTATAATATTATATATTAATCATATAAATAAAAAAATAAGTATGATGAATAATAATTATTTTATTAGTGATATAAATTAAATTCAAAATTTAAAACCAGTCTGAAAATGAAACCAATGTCATATCTAGATGGCAGGTTAACGATATAATCTTCTAGGTCAATGGGTCAATCTATAATGTCATAACTAAGAAATAAATATTAAAAAATCTATAGAAACTCAAAGAAAAATATAATCTTTGTATAAAGCATTTTGATACAATTCTAATGTTATATATTCATAATATTAAACAAAAATAAATATGAAAATAAAAATTACTTTTATTAATGATGAAAATGGAATACAAGATTTAAAATCAACCAAAAAAGCAAAATGGTTTTTTCCATCCAAGTGGTGGATTAGTGGTTCAATTGTCCATATCAAATGGATCAACACATGATGTTATAATTAAATAATAAAATACACAAAATTATAGAAAAAATGTAGATAAATTTGGGTACATTCTATGATATTATATATTCATCGTATAAAAAAAATGTGATAAATGAGAATTATTTTCATTAATAATGGAAATGGGATAAAAATTAGGAAAAAAACAAAGCATTGATGTCTAACACATGACTCCACTAACCATGTCAAATGGTTCCATGATTTAATTAGCTAGGCCACCGTAGACAAGTGGTTAATTTGGTGGTAAATGAACCTACAATCTTGAATTGGGTGGTTGGCTAATCAATCTAATAAATTGATTTGACCCCAATATTAAAAACCAATATCAAACAATACATTGGAATTGCATTTTCCTCTTGTTAAATAAGTAATTTTTATTATATCATAAATTAAATAATAAAAAATAAAAGTATAGAATTTTTTTATAAATTTTATGGAAAATTTTGAACATGTATTAATATTATATATTCTTCATATTAAACAAAAGTATATTTGAAAAAAAATGATAATTATTGTTAGTAAAAATAGAAATAGCTAAAATAAAAAAGAAAAACAAATTAATGTATTAACCATAGCCCATTTTCCTGGTTAAATACGTTAGTGGTTCTACCGGTAAGGACCTAATTTGGTTCTTGACCAAGTCAATGGTTTTTTTTGGCAATAAATTGGTTTAGGTTAAAACATACCAAAAAAATGTATCCAATTGACAAACCAATGAATCCAATTAACCTAACCATGTTTAGGTTAAAACATGTTGAAAACTTTGATAGAAACTATAAGAACATTTGAAGTTAGGTCTTTGAGTTGAACGGCAATATATACATTGCCACGTGCAACATGCGTGCGCTTTTACTAGTATATAAACGTATGCATACAAATATACATATGTATTAGCAAGGATCCTACAAGGCGGGGATTGGGGTCTCCGTGAGGTGGGGAGTGCTCTCTCCGTCCCTACCAACGGGGATGAAAATTTCCCCACCCCATCCCCAAGGAGGAAAATCATCCCCATCCCCCACCCCATTTGGGGTGGATCCCCACGGGAATCAGGGAAATAGGGAAATTGTCATCCCTAATCTTTATGCTTTAGGGCTTGTTCATTTGCTCCGATGTCTAACATCTAAAAGTGCAATAATTACATTAGGAGGTATATTGGTATTGGTGAACTTTTCTTTCCTCAGAACTCTAAATGTAGAGAATATTGTTTTGAATTCTAAAATTTGTCAAATGTCCATTTTAACCCCATATGTGAGAATTTTTGTTAGTCTATGTAATTCAATAAAAATAATATTAAAAATTATTATAATTGATTAATAACTAATTAATAATTAATTATAACATTTATTATTTATTATTAATTATTAATTATTAATTAATACTAATTAATATAATAGTTAATAATTAATTAACAACCAATAATTAATAATTATTATTAATTGTAATTAATTAATGTTAAATAATTATTATTATTATTATTAATTTTTTGTAAATTCAATAAAGAAATAATATTAAAAATTGTTATAATGATTAATAATTATCTAATATTTAATAATAATGCTTATAATAATAATAATAAATTATTATTATTATTAATTATTAATTAACTTTTAATTATAATAATAATAATAATTATTATTATTATTATTGTATATGAGACCCTTGAGTTATAAGGAAGAAGAAGTGTTTTGTGTTTTGGGGGGTATCATTGGAAAACAAAAAAAAATGTAAGGTTCATCTTTAAGAGATAAGGAATAAGAGGAAACGAATGACCATTTTCCTCTTAAAGTTGTAAGATTTCTCTTAAGAGGTAAGAGTTAAGAGGAAACGAACAAGCCCTACAGTGTTTCCTTTATTTTACATAGGGAGTATGGTCCCCGCCCAAACTCACCCGATTATGATTAAGTTGATGTTATGATAATACCTACGTCCGCTAATCAAAGTCATGGAGCTATGCCACTTATAGACTTATAGTTAGGCAAGACTTAGGGTATGTTCGTTTCCTCTTAACTCTTATCTTTTAAGAGGAATCTTTTAACTTTAAGAGAAAAATGGTTGTTCGTTTCCTCTTATCTCTTATTTCTTAAAGTGCAATCATACAACTTTTTGTTTTCCAATGATACCGCAAAAAGACAAACAAAAAGCTCATATATAGAGTTAAAATAGATATTTGATAATTTTTAGAATTCATAATTTTGAACAACATTCTCTCCATTCAAAATTTAGAAAAATGAAAAGTTCACAAATAACAATAAACCTCTAAATGTAATTATTACACTTTCATATGTCAGACTTTAGAGCAAACAAACATGCCTTGATGACAATGATTTATTATACATATTTCATCCTTTTGCTTCGAATTCTTGACATATTATCTTGAAAATTAGGATTCATAACAAACTTTATTTATTTTTCTATAATCTATGTGGGGAGATGATCAGCTATCCTAGGCTCCTAGCTAGCTTATTTGGATTCCGACTTGGCAACTTCTATTGTTGGATGCTTCTCTTCTCGAAAACGGGGAATGGGTTACATTGGCAAGCATCACTGCATCACGCATTCATCCACACCCAAACGATACCTACCCCATTAAGTAAGTATTGCGTATGTACACGTTCCCAAACAGCACCTGATATTTCTCTCTAGAAACTACGGATGACCGGCTGACCACTTGAATTCTCACGTGTTCATCAATCCTCGTAAGCACTAACGCACGGTCACAAACACCGTTAATGGGAATGTTCTCAATTTCGTCAGTTCATTTTAGCATTTTATTCTGTGGTCAAGCTAAATTGCGCCAATCGGCTAATAATCTAATGTCGTTCCGGCGACATCCTATAAATTTCCAGTCGCGCCTATTTATTTTCACAATCTTCTCTTTGAAATTCATTTTTTTTTTCAGACAGAACGAAGTATCCAATCCGTAGAGTCCGATCGTCTCAATTCAATTGAGGTAATTCTTCCGTCCTTTTCCGGTCTGGGCATATTTAGAAATCGATATATCTCGAAATCTTTATTGTTTAGCAGTTTATTTATAGCAAACTCGGTTGAATTTCATTGATACTGGAGGGCTTGGTTCATTGATTTCAGGTCCTGCTGGATGTTGTTTCGGATGCCTACGCCTTATTAGATTGATGGTCTTTTCGTTCTTAGTTTTGGATATATTCTGGTTCTGTCTTGTCTTCCCCCTTCCTTTCCTTATACTGTTATTCATTTTCTTTTAATTTCGCCTTGATTTTAGTGGTGCGAAAAAAAAAGAAGTTTGGTTCTAATTATTGTTCTCGTTTTGACTATTATATCTGCATTTTCTTTTAATATCGACATTGAATATTTGAATTCCCTGTTGGAATTTTGGATAGTTTGAGTTTATTCTGAACTTTAAGGGAGTAGTCTAGGAAACCTATATTGAGAACTATTTCTACAGATTGATAACTTTTATATGGACACCTAACATGTATTAACTTGGCTGGTTTTCGAGTTCTCTACTTGATACTGGCCGTATTATTGCCAACAAAATTTGGTAACTTGAGGGATAAAATGAAGATTTCAAGCAGATTGTGGTTTGAGACTTCAAACTTGTGGTTTGATCTTAAAATGAAAACCCTACTTTTACAACCGATAATTATTGTTTCACTTTCTGAACCCATGGTCCATGTCTTGAGGTGGTCTTCATTCTTGTGGAAGTTCTTGCATTCAACCTTCAACGTGTCTATGTTTCGCAACTAATAATTCTATGTCGAGTGTTTTGTGTGTGTGTGTGTGTGTGGTGTCGGTTCTTTTTTTTTTGTATTTTCTTGATTGTTGAATCTTTTCATGATCAGATAGAAAAGTTTGTTGGAGGTTGCCCATAGAGAGAAAGGGAATCAATTAGTACTTTCAAGCTTCAGCTTTCTTCTTTCTTAGTTACTTTTCCTTTATTTTTCCTTGCAGTACAATATGGAAAAAACACAGAATATCTTGGTTATTTGGAGGGGAAGGAAGTTGAATGTGGAGATAAATTCAGGTGCTACTCTCAAAGATCTTGGACACAAACTACAGAAGTTGACTAATGTAAAAGCCAATACTATGCGTCTCCTTGTACCACGTTCTTCTGATAAAAGCTCAAATATGTTCATTCCATTCTCTGGGGAACACTCAAATTTAAGCTTGCTCGAGTCTTCCATTCTTGAGGTATGAACCATATTCCTATACCTTCACTAATACTTTATTTCCTACATAATAAAAATTGTGCCTTTGATCTCACATTTAAATTGACAAATGTCTTAGTTATTATAATCATGGTTGGCAATATCAATGAGATTTGGAACAATCTCCCCATTTCACTAGAGGCAATACAAAATATTCCAAGAATTTTTTCTCCCTTTATCTCTATATTGCAATATATCAGTGATATTTCAAATCTCATTGATTACTCAAACATCTAAGATTTTATGTTTTAGAATATCGTTGTAACCTTATGATATTTTTTTAAAATCATTGAAGGTTTTTAGAAGTCTTCCTGAAAATCAAATGGAGATTTTGTGATTGGATGACTATCTTACTGTTTAAGTGTTTATGTGACTTGTAACAACAGGTTCTTTTTTTCTTTTTTTCTTTTTTTTTTTGCTTTTTGATCTGATCAAAAAACATAGTAACAAAAAAAAAAGAAGAAAAAAATAAAGTAGCTAGTGAATGATATACATATAGAACAGAAAATGGTTAAAAGACCAAAAATAGAAAGAGAATCCTAATTTTCTCCTATTTGTTATTCCCAGTTGTTTGCTATGGTTTTTCTATTTTAAATATGCAATTATACTTATAATAATCCATGAAGTTTCATTAACAAATTCCATGTTTTTAGTAATTCCCCCAATCGCTTTAGATTTTTCAAATGCCTTAGCAAGATAAGTGAAATATCCCCAGAATTTCTCATTTCTACATGGCAAAATGTCCATTGATATCGAAGTTGTGAACCATGGTAATAACTTCCCCCAGTGGATAATTGAGACATAAAACTTAGCTTTTTAAGGTTCTTGTTGTAGCTCTGCATCCATTTAAGTGGAGTTTCTCTGTTGGTCAAGTAGCAACTTGGTTGTATTGATCAAGTTCATTTAGTCCTGGAATTTGTGAATACCATTGGTTTTCCTTTGGCAGGGAACACTTGGTTGTCTCACATGGTTATTGTCTTTGTGGATAATAGAATCAACAATGAATTTCTGTATGTCTATTTCCTGAACCTGAACGATTTTTCACCATGAGAAAATATCAAAGTCCTCATCAATGCTGTTATCTTGGTTAAATCCCAAAAGATAAATGGATGCAGTCAAAGGATAAATGTATTGTGAAGTGGGTCTGAAATGTTCTTAGATTGTATTTTAAGAAAGGTTTTTTAATCAACTAGCACATAGGAAGACAATAATCATGTTTAACATCACTGTCTATGTACTCCTTGCAAAGCAACTTATTTCTTTGCCTTTTCTTGGGCAGAATAAGCCTATTAGAATGATGGGTGTGTTCGAAGATGAAGTTGAAGAGGTTCTACAAAATGAAAAAGTTGACTTGAGGATAGCTGGATTTGATGAAGAGGAAAGGAGACTGAGGCAGCGCATGATAGATAGGCCCACAACTTCACTAAAACTTCCACAAGGAACGTGTATCTTCTGTGATTTCCGCACACTTCACATTCCAGGAATAGAGGTGTGATCAACTTCTATAACCACTAAACAAGTTAAACTTTGTGTTCCCTAAATAGATCTCTGTTGAGCTACTTTAGTTAAACACCTTCCAAATGATTTTTTTTTGAGTTGACACTTCTCCTGCTATTATCTTAATTAAGCTATGCCTGTCAACCAACCTCAACCTAAGATGAAGAACTTGGTATTCCATATGCCATACCTAATCATATTATTTGATCAGCCACCTAATCTTATTATTATAACTATTGTTAATCATGTGCTTGTGTTTTTTAACAGTTGTACCCTCCAGCTTCTGAGGCATTGAGAATAATGCATATGCTTGCTGCTGATCCAGGAATTATTGCTATCATGAACAAGGTTCTTCTAAATGACAATTCCTAGTTATTACCTTTATATTTTCTGTTTTGCCATGGCTTTTGTTAGACATTGTATTGTTTCTGTACTGTTTTAAAGCATCGATGGCGGGTAGGAGTTATGACAGAGATGGCTCCAGTGGGGTATGTTGGTATCAGTCCCAAATGCATTCTTGGTTTTAACAAGGTAACATTTGGGTTATACACCAATCAGAAAACAATTGGGTTATGTATTTTGGTGGTACAATACATAGAAAAGTGAAAATTGAAGAAAAAATGTTATACATTGTTTTGTCATTTCTTATTCTCTTTACAGAATCAAGGAGAGGAGATATCTCTGCGCCTTCGAACTGATGACCTCAAGGGTTTTAGGAAATATGAGAGCATTAAAAAAACTCTGTTACATGAGCTTGTGAGTATAATTTTCTAACATTTCATTATAAAATTTGTATTCTGTTCGAGTACCTATGACAGAATAAGTACCACATGGATCCATCATGACATTCTGTGGTCTTGAATTGTCTGTGTGATGAAAATGCCCATACATCACTATTACTTTGAAAAAAAAAAAAAAATTGTATTTAGTTGGATTGTGAACATTGGTGAACACATGTCCTGATTGATCCAACATGGGACTTCTGGAAATTATAGAAGCCAACTCCACAAAGTCTTCTGCATTCTTACACTAGAGGATCCAAATTCAACTTCCTGACCTTTCTGTGGATCTATTATATGCAAAGTGTGGGTATTAGGTACATAACTTTTAGCTTTCAATTGGAGGTGACTCTTTGAATCTGATTTTACTCAGAAATTCAGGCAGTTTTCTCCATAGATAATCGAGTGTTTCTACTTTTGTTGGCCTTTCGCTTATCCAATTTTTTTTCTACTGCCCAAATGGAGATTAGTTGGATTATCACAGTCTCCATTTTGACTTCATCCCTATAGCCCATCCTAAACACCAGTTGAAAATTTTACTTGCATACTAATTTTAACAGTTTAGGGCTTCACATCAAGTAACAAGTTATCATTGAATCCCTTGTTAGGAGTTTCCTCAATGTATACACCAGTGCAACATGTGTACATAATTGTATAGTTATCAGTCAGCAAATGATCCTTCAACCCACATTGTTTTTTCCATTTTGTCTATTTCAGGCTCACATGGTTTACTCTGAACATGATGCCAACTTTTATGCTCTAGATAAGCAGGTATATATCTATATTATGTGTTTGCACTTGAAGCGTATGCATGAGGTTTTGATTTGAAGATTCTTAACCTTGATTTGCTTTTGTTCCAAACAGCTCAACCAAGAAGCTGCTAGTCTAGATTGGACAAAGTCAAGAAGCCACACCTTGACTTCTGTCAGGCATTCGGAACACTATGAAGAGGAGTTTTATACTGGAACCAGAAGTAGTAGTTCTCAAAAGCTTGGGGGCAAAATGTCAGATCACTTGGCCAGTGCCTGTGCATCATCAGTTGCTGCTGCCTACCGTCGTTTAGCTGAAACTTCCACCAACACCTCTGGGGCATTTGAAGTCTGTGAAGAACCTGATCCTGATGATTCTTTGGTAAAAGAACATATGCAGCCTGAAGTCCCCAAGGAAACTTGTGAGAATCCTAGCAGTGAGCCTCATCCTAATCACAACTTGCTTGATCAAAACAAGTTTGAGCCTGACCCCAATGATTCTCAAAGTGTTCATGCCATGGATTTCAAACCTTATTTGGGAGTTAACAGAAACAGAACTGAACTTGAGCCTGATCCAGATGATCGTAAAGTGGCACAGTCCATGCCTCATATGAGAACTGACAGGAAGTTGATTGACTCTAATAACTGTGAAGAACCTGATCCTGATGATACGGAGGTGAACAGTGCTGCTCTAAAGAATAAAGTGGTGGTTGAACTGGATCGAGATGAGAATCAAGCAAATGAGACTATGGGTAATGAGAGCCAGCTAACGATGAACTGCAGAGAACCTGATCCAGATGATTCTGAATTTGGAAGGGTTATCTTGGACTACAGAAACAGGGGTGAACCTGATCCTGATGATTCTCAAGCAATTAAAACTGTTGAACATGAGGCCCAAGTAGGGAAGACTATTGAGGAGCCTGATCCTGATGACGCTGAAGTAGAAAAGACCTCTTTGGAATATAGAGGCAACAGCAAACCTGATCCTGGTGATTCTCATGCCAGTGAAGTCATGCAGATTGAGCCCGATCCTGATGACAAGGAAAACTCCAATGAAAGTTCTAGAATGCATGCTGATGAACCTGATCCAGATGATCAAGAACTGCAGAGAATTCAAGACCCTGTTTCTCTTGTATGTACTCGTCTTCAGAAAGCCATTGAAGTGCTGCGATCTGAAGTTAATTCGACAGAAGCTAATTCTGTTCTTCAGACCCTTTGTAAGATCGTTAGGTAATTCTATGGCACTCGAATCACCATATTGCTATTAATATTTGGACTCTTCTTTTTGGTGCTTTGAGATATTATAGTGACTTATATTGATGCTCATTTCTTATAGGAATGTCATTGAACACCCAGATGAAATTAAATTTAGGAGACTACGGAAGGTTCTCTTTCTCTCTCTCTCTCTCTCTCTCTCTCACACACACACACACACACATATGTATATATTAATTTTAGGAGGCTACAAAAGATTTTGGATCTATGTTTCGTCTTTCCAATTCTCTCCTCTGTATTGCTAACTGATGTTGAACTGCAGGCAAATCCCATGTTTCAAAGGAACGTTGCAAATTATAAAGGTTCAAACATTTCCCCATTTCTTCTCATTTGTCTTAATGTTTGATGAGATGTAAATGATGACCATCATCTAATTAAGTATCATGGTTCTTTATGTGTGACCCCATCAATTCATTGATCCGGATTGTCAGTAGCTGCACCATCGTGCTGAATAAAGTAGCCCCCAAAAGTCATACTGTATCGAGCATCTTTGACCTTTCTAAAACTTGAGGCCTGAGGCTCAAGGTAATATATTACTAGATGCTTCTGATCAAAGTGACTTTTGGTATGTCCTAGTTAAGAGGTGCTGAACCAATAAGCAATCTGAGTCCATGTTATGCACTGGGGCATAGGGTTTTTCAAGAGGTGCTGACTTTTGTTAGGCTCGAAAAGCTTTTAATGACTGGTCTTTTGCTTCTTTTGATCAGCTGCCATGGAAGTTCTTTTTCTGGTGGGCTTCAATGAAGATGTTTTGTCTGATGAAGTTGGGAGAGTGGAGACTTACATGGTTCTGAAAAGGAATGATCCTGCGTTACTCTGGCTTGCCAAGTCCTCATTGGAGATGTGCATTGCTTACTAGTCGTGGTCCTCCTGGAAGTGGTAAAGCCAAATGTTGGATTTGTACAAGGGATCTCTTTTCTGTCTTTGTTGTACGTCAAGGTAGTATGTATTCTTTTCTTTGGGGTGGTATCGGCGTTACAGGGTGCTGTGTGAAGTGTTGTATCCATTGTGCACGTCCGGTTACAGGTACTGTAGCCCTGATTTGGATGTAATCCGATTTGTATGATTCTGTAAGAATTACTGTAGATAAAGTGGACAGCATTGTTTATCTCATTGACATTTGCATTTGGGTTACTACTAGGTTTTTATACAGTGTGGAGATGATTTTTGGGATAAATTACCGAAGAAAATCAACACTCAACAGAACATAATAACATGGAAATAAAACATACTCCCTATAATGCATTTTTATCTTCCAAAATTTTTGATCAATTATAGTTTCTCAAACTTTATTTACTTCCACTTTTTTCCCTTTCTATGCAGTTACGACTGATAGGAGGTTGAAGCTTACCTTCCTAAACATATCAGATTGCCATTTCTGTTTTCAAAACCTGAAAACTTGTGCAATCTTTTTTTTTTTTGATGAATGAAAATAATTTATTAATTCAGAATATAAGGCAATACAGGAAACTCATGAAGAGGCACGAGCTGTTACCTCTTCTAACAAGGTATTACATCATTTAAGAACTGGATAAGTAGAAATAAAAAGAAATAAAATTATATACCAGCCCAAAACAGATGATCCCTTATAACCGTTTGCTTAGTTAGTCCATCCACTAAGGAATTTGCTGATTTTTCTACCCAAAGAGAGGTAACTGTCATATTTTTTATGAGCCAATTGACTTTCCTCAATAAATCTCTATATCGCCACATAGCTGAAGCTGGCTTTGTCAGCCATCTCACGACAATTTTAAAGTCTCCTTCAATTATTAAGTGTTGAACTCCTAATTGTTCAGCAATCTGGATGCCTTGTACAGCCGCTAAGATCTCTGCTCTATTTGAGTCTCCTATTCCCACAGGGCCTGAAAAGAAAGCTAAAATGGTGCTCTCTGTCTCTTAGCACCCTTCCTATCATCGAAGGGCCTGGGTTTCCTTGGCTACTACCATCAAAATTCAGCTTTGCCCAACCTTCAGGCGAAGGCTTCCACACTGCAGCTGCCTTGTCCCTCCTCGTATGACTATTGGCTACCGCCTTCTAATTACTCCAAATGTCATCAAAGGAAAACATATGAAAGAAGTCCAAAGTTCTTAGCCAATGAATGGCTCTGGTCAGTATACAATCCTCCACAGTTCGTATGCTTCTTTCCTTTTCCTTGAACACCCTAGCATTCCTTTCTTCCCAAATTGTCCACATGGATGCTGCTCTAATACATCTCCACTTCGTTTTTCCTTTCCTTGTAGGCCACACAAAGAAAGAAGGATCGAACAGCTGACTTAATTCTGAGGACAGATTCCACTTGCATCCAAACAAAGAAAAAATCCAACTCCAAATAGCACTAGAAAATGAACAAGATACAAATAGGTGGGAGCAATCCTCACCACTAGCCCTACAAAGTACACACCAGTTAGGGGACAAGCACATGAAAGCCCTTTTCTTTTACAAGCAATCTAGAGTATTGATCTTTCTATAAAACACCTCTCAGCAGAAAATTATAATTTTAGGAGGAGGAACAGGTCTAAACTAAATCTCCTTAGAAGGGAAATCCAACTATCCCATGGAGGGGCAAAGGGACTTAGAAAATGAAGTACAAGTGAAAAAACCTTTTGGATGAGGGGACCATAGTCTCACATCCGATCGAAGAGGGTCCAGAAAGACACTGCCAAGAAGAAACAACAGTTCTGAAGCACTACTAAGTTCAACATCCCCGCTAGTGAGCATGAAAAAGATAAAGATAAATAATAGAAATATTAAGAATATACAATTATTTTATATAATAATTAATAACTAGCGGAATAACCCGTGCTGAGCATGGGAGTGACACTGCTGCTTGAAATAAAATTCCGCAATTGGTGGAAGACATTGCTAGATTTCTTACTAAACAAAATGCAGATAGACAAATACAATTATACAATTGTCAGGGAAAAATGAAGTTCACTCCCCATATCTTTGTAAAACTCAAGCTACAGCTGCAGAATGGATGAATTGGAAAGGTTTGGTCGTGAGGTAAATGTGTAGCTGGCCAAACCCCCACACACAGTCATTGTTAAATGCAGACATGCTAAAACCCAACCAATACAGTTGCTAGATTTGTGGCTTTTTACCATGAAAGCTGTGATTGTTATCCTTCTCAGAAACCTCTTTCGCCTAATGATTTCTAAATACCAAAGAAAAAGGATACCTTAATTCGAAAGATTGATAATCAAGCTTTTGAGGGTTGCAATGACGTGCATCCACGAATCTCATAACTTTAGATGGTTAAAACTAAAAAACTCCTCTTGTCAAGTAGTTGGTGCAGAGTTTAGACGCCATGGCAGGTTAAAACTTTAAGTGTTGCGACTGCTTCGGTGCTTCCCCAAAGACTATAATTCAAGACAAAATCACAACTAAGTATCATGTTAATCAACAATTATAACATGTAACACATACGAAACCTATGAATTGTTTAGCATATACCGAAAAATGCAAAAATTAAGAGACAAAACCTGGCACAAAATTACAAAAATTCAAAGGAGAATAAAACCAATCACAGGGGAGTCCGGCGTGTTTGTGTCCTCTGTTTATGGTCATTCTTCCCTATTCCCACCTTCACTTGGAACTTACAATATAACTCTCCAATTAACATGTTTTTTTCCCTTTCTAACCCAAAAAGAAAGAAGAAATTCCAAGCTTTCTAAAGTGAACTATCTTAAAATCTATTACAGTCAAACAAAAATAGATGAGCTTCTAAAACTCGTCATGTGAATCATCGTTCCATTTGATCCACCAAGAGCTCCACCAGTCCTTTGATAGACAACAACGATGATTGGGTTGCAAACAGTCTCTACCTCTTTGAGCTTCTCATCATAATCCTCCTTCTCACCTCTCTGGTTCTCATCCAGCCACTAAAGACCAGCTTTGCTGTTTCCTCAAAGCAGCCTTCTTCCATATCTCAGATCCCAGAATCTTAGTAACAGTTTAGTAATAGGTCTACGGAACCAGAGGAGGGAAATGCTGCAGAAAAAGGTTACAACCTTTTTGAATATTTTCCGTATCTTAGTAGTCTTTGATTTATATAATAGTTCCAGTTTGGTGTCTGGAGGTGAACAATTAACGAGAGAGTAGCACACAGATCGAAAGACCATTAGATAGCGAAGAAAAATGAGTGGTGAAATTCAATGGCGGTGTTTGCTTGAATTTTTATGTATCGGTGTTTATTGTTCAACGGTGGTGCTGTTGAAGTGTTGATAGCTGTCGTTTAGGAAAGTTCCGGTATTTCGCTTGTTCTGTTGATCGGTGGAGTGTGGTAGAAGACGATAATAGCATATAACAATAAAGGGCAGAATCACTATTCATCTTCTTCCTCTTAAGTCTATTCACCGGTGCCGCCACTCCAACAATGTTGTTGGAAGTGGGCGGAGGCAGAAGCAGCGACGGCTCTGGCTGCCCAACGCTGCCACTTCCGCCCATCTCCGCCTCCGCTTCCGGTAATGTTGTCGGAAGTGGGTGGAGACAAAGGCGGCGGCGGCACTGGTGGACGGAGGTGGCAGCATTGGGCAGAGAAATAACCACCAGCGTCGCCACCGCCACCTCCGCCTTTACCTCCGGCAATGTGATTGAAAATGGGCGGAGGCAGAGGTAGGCGAAGATAGGCGAAGGCAGCGGCAAACGACAAGCGGCGACGCTGGTGAAGAAATTGCAGGAGGAAGAAGATGAACAGCGCTTTTACCTTTAGGGCCCAAAAGTTGCCCTTATATGCCATTATCCCAAAATATTTCATACCTTCACACGTCGAAGACAAAATATAAATACGTGAAAAGCAATCCTAGACCTCATTCATTATATATTCGCATGATGCAATCCCGCGGAAAGAGAAAGCCACGTCGTCTTGAAGAAGGCCCTTCCCGCCTTAGTATATATAATAGATCTATATTTTATATATTATTTCTAATATTTTTTTATAATATAAAAATAATAATAATTAATAATCATTTATATTTTATATATTATTTTTAATATTTTTTATCAAATTTAATGGTAATTTTTCCTATTTTCCTCGGTCCTTATGGGGATTCACTTCAAATAGGGTCGGGTTGGGGATGCTTTTTCCCGTAGGGACGGAAATGAAAAAATTTTCATCCCCATTGGCGGGAACGGGGAGAGCACTCCTTGCCCCGCGGGGATCCCTGCTAATATATATATATATATATATATGCATACGTTTATATATTATATACATACATGTACATATGTTAATATTTTTAAAAATATGGTTGAATATGTTTAAATCTTTTCTAATAGGATTGCAATTTTTAATTATTTTATTTTTACTTTTTTAAATAAAATAAAAAACAAAAACATAATGGTTGATATTATAAAGAATCACAAGGAGTGGGGATCCTCGTGGAGACGGGGATGGGGATAACTTTGTCCTCGTTAGTGCCTTAGCGAAGATGGGAACAAGGATGGGGATGGGGATATTTTGTCGGGACAAGGATGGGGAGAGGCTCCTCGTCCCTGCCCCACCCCATTGCCACTCCTAATCAAACTAATGAAATTGACCAACCCGATTTCTAGTATTTCTAGTTGGCTTTGGTTCAACAATTTCCCAACCCGAGTGGGTTGGATCAGTTTCGCTTTGGCCATTTATAAATTGACCAAAACCGAACGACCTAACCATAAATATATATTAATATTTTATACTTTAAATATATTGTTTAATACGAGAAAGTGGAAAAATTCCAATGTTTCTTAGGATAAAATATTTTATATCATAAATTTATTTTTCTAATAATGCCATTGTAATTTTTTAAATTTAAAATTTTAAGCTTAAATCTTTCAAATGAACCGATCAAACCGAAAATTGACCCAAATTGATATAACCCGAGCTACCAACTCCTCAACCTGACTAGGTCGATTTGGTTAGCCAAACAACCTACAACTAAACTGAACCAACCCGTGAATAATAGTTTAATCTCCAATAATTATTAAATATTTACAGAAAAAATACATAATAAATTAAATTTAAAAAGCTAAATTGCAGTAGTTTAAATTCCAATAATTATTGAAAATTTTCTATTAAATAAAAAACAAAAATAGATTTTTACATAATTAATGAAAATATAATGATCACAAAAAACAATAAATAATTATTGAAATATAATAAATATTAATTTTAGTATAAATAGATATATAATAAATATAGATTTAGTGTTTAAAATTATTATTAATAAACATTAATTTTTTTGAAAGTTATTTTCTAGAATTATTAATTGGTATAAATGAAATTAGTTACTTAAAATATTATTTATTTATTAAATAATATCATTATTTAAATTTTAAAATCTTAATTATTTGTTGAATTTAATAATCCATAAAATTATAGTACTATAAATACATAATTTCGTTATTTTAACTATTTAAAATCTAGTTATGTTAAATATTTCATTATTTAAAATATTTAGTTACTTAACTAAATATTTATAATCTTAATCTATTTATTATAATTTAAAGTTATTCAATAACTATTTAAAATATATTATTAATTGATTTTAAAAAATCAATTTTAATATTTTGTTTGTACATAATCTCGTGATGAATTTTGTAAAAATATATAATTATTAACAATATGAATATTATTAAATTGATTATAATTATTTTGTCTTTTTAATAAATATTTTAAATTTATTATATAATTCTGTTAGAATATTTAAATAATTCTTAAATTTTTAAATTTAAACTTTCTTTAGATAGGTGTAGATAAAAAGTGGGGGAGAAGATAAATAAGAATTGGGGATAATTTAGGAGAGAAACTCTCTACAGAGATAACTTAGGAGAAAGTTGGGGATAGTAGTAGAGGTTGTTTAGGATAAATTTTAGGATGTTAGATTATTTAGGTTATTGGAACGTGAGAGAGAGAGAGAAAGAGAGTGAGAGAGAGATTTTAGGAAGATTTTTTTTTTGGAAAGTAAAGTTTCTAATTGGTAGTTTCAAAAATGACATGGACTAAAGAAAATAAAAAATTCAAAAAAGGAGAAACTTTCTAGGCTTCCTTCTTTTAATATATACTAACAGGGACCTGCAAGATGCACAGGATTTGTTAAGTTAAAGATAAACAATAGAAATATGTAAGAGTATACAATTGTTTTATATAATAATTAATAATCATATATTTTATATACTACTTTTAATAATTTTATTTACAATACAAAAATAACAATAATTAATTTTAGATAAGGTTGTTTATCAATTTTATGGATGGCAATTTTCCCCATTTCCCCGGTCCTCATGGGGATCCACCCCAAATGGGGCGGGGTGGAGATGATTTTCCTCCTATGGGGGTAGAGATGGAAAAATTTTCATCCCCATTGGTGGGACGGAGAGAGAACACTCCCTGCCCTGCGGGGACCCCAATATGTGCCCCATGGGATCCCCACTAATATATATGTATATATACTCATACTTTTATATATGTATATATGTACACATATGTCTATATGTTAATATTTTTTAAAATATGGTTGAATATGTTTGAATCTTGCCTTCAAACAAATATGTTTAAATATTTTCTAATAGGATTGTAAATTTTAATTATTTTATTTTTATTTTTAAATAAAATAAAAACAAAAACATAATGGGTTGACATTATAAATAATCACAAGGAGTGGGAATCCCCGTGGAGATGGGGATGGGGATAGGGAGGAGGATGGGGATTTTTGCAAGGACAAGGATGGAGAGAGGCTCCTCGTCCCTACCCTTGCCCCGTTGCCATTCGTAATCAAATTAATGAAACTGACCAATCAAATTTCTAGTATTTTCAGTTGGCTTGGGTTCAACAATTTCCCAACTCGAGTGGGTTGGATCAGTTTTGCTTTGACCATTTGTAAACTGACCAAAACCGAACAACCCGACCATAGATATATTTTAAATATATTTTTTAATAAAAGTGGGAAAATTCCAATATTTCTTAGGCTAAAATATTTTATATCATAAATTTAACTTTTAAATTTATTTTTTTAATAATGCCATTGTAATTTTTTAAATTTAAACTTAAATTTTAAATTTAATTGTTTAAGTTTAAATCTTTTGAACTAACTGACCAAACCGAAAATTGACCCAAACTGGTATAACTTGAGTGACCAACTCCCCAACTTGACCAGGTCGATTTGGTCGGCCAAACAACCTACAACTGAACCAAACCAACCCATGAACAATAGTTTAATCTCCAATAATTATTAATAATTTATAGCAAAAGTACAAAATAAATTAAATTAAAAAGCTAAATAATAGTAGTTTAAACTCCAATAATTATTGAAAATATATTTATCATAAAAAACAATAAATATTTACTGAAATACAATAAATATTTACTTTAGTATATATATATATATTAATTTTTTAAAATTATTATTAATAAACATTAATTTTTTTGAAAGTTATTTTCTAGAATTATTAATTGGTAAAAATGAAATTAGTTATTTACAATATTACTTATTTATTTAAATAATATCATTATTTAAATTTTAAAATATTAATTACTTGTTGAATTTAATAATCCATAAAATTATAGTACTATTAGTACATAATTTTGTTATTTTAACTATTTAAAATCTAGTTATGTTAAATATTTCATTTTTTCAAATATTTAGTTATTTAACTAAATATTTAAAATCTTAATATATTTATTATACTTGAAAGTTATTCAATAAATATTTAAAATATATTATTAATTGATTTAAAATATTAATTTTAATATTTTGTTATTTAAGATATTTAGTTATTGAAATATTTAAATAATATTTCATTATTAATGTTATATTTTTATTATTTGAATAACATTTAGATTGAATGATCTAGAAAATCATAATTTATATTGTTTGTACATAATTTCATGATGAATTTTGTAAAAATATATAATTATTAATAATATGAATATAATTAAATTGATTATAATTATTTTTTGTCTTTTTAATAAATATTTTAAAGTTATTATATAATTTTATTAAAATATTTTAATAATTCTCAAATTTTTTAATTCAAACTTTCTTTAGATAGATGTAAATAAAAAGTGGGGGAGAAGATAAATAAGTATTAGAGATAATTTAAGAGGGAAACTCTCCATTAAATTAGAGATAAGTTAGGAGAAAGCTGGGGATAGTGGGGGAGGTTGTTTAGGAGAAATTTTAGGATATTAGATTATTTAAGTTATTTTAGGAAGATTTTTTGGGGAAAGTAGAGTTTCTAGATTGGTAGTTTAAAAAATGACATGGATTAAAAAAATAAAAAATGAGAAAATTTCTAGACTTCCTTTTTTTAATGTGTGTGTGATTTTTTGAGAGGGGGATGAGGAGAGGGAGGACATGAATGAGGTGACAAGATGATCGAATTTTGAGGAAATAGAGAGTGAATGAATGAAAAGCTAGGATTAGGGTAACAGTCCTTGTTTAGGGGGGGGGGGGGGAGAGAGATGCCTATAATCAAGGGGATTAAATTTGCTTTAAAAGAAGAAACTCGAATGGTTTTGGGAGTGATAATTATTGGGCAGAAAAAGGGGAGATCACCATACTAAGTGGCAACTCCTAGTGATTCTAGGGGGAATCTTACACCCCCTCTAGAATTGCTCCCTTAGGATAATGGAGCACAAAGAGGCCATCTAAGGTGGCATAATATTAATTTAGTGTATATATATAGATGGGCAATGGCCAATGTGAAGTCAGCATCTAAACTATCCATGATTGTGTCTCACTAACACAAGTATATTATCATAATGCTCTCAAAGAGTCAATAGTTTTTACATGATCAGGATACTCTCCAAACATAGCCTCCTCGGATATGTCTGCACTCTGCACTTTGTTTGTATTGGAACTGAGAACTGACCTATTCATGAGCAAGGCTCAGCCTTAACTTTTGCCAAATATTGAATGAGCCCAGCCCAAAACCTAAGATCTAAGTAGAGTAAAATGTTCATGGGCCGAGTCCCAAAACTCGGCTTATGAACAAATCTACTTGGAAATTGGGAACAAGAATAAAGGCGAGTAGAAGGGACAAAACAATCAAGCCTCCATTGTGATTATTATGAGAGTCCAGATCTCCTGCTCACAAGAATTCTGCCCACGTCTACCCACATAATATCGTAGTTACACATGAAGAACATTTCATCTTCTTATATAATATTATGTATAGGGAGATGTTCCGAATGTACGGAATAATGTGTTGTGGGGACCAAATCCAATGTTCAATCCCGTCCCAACAAGGTCCAGAGTCTAGGTTCGGGCCGTTCTTCAAAGGTCGGGTCACCCGTTTATTAATCTGGTCCAATATGCAGCCTCCGAGTCCGGGCCGGCTATATAATAGAAGATGGAATGAAGAAAAGAAAAAGTTCTGGAGGCTTCTTCCGCGCGCGTAACGAAGACCTAAAAGGAACTGACGGACAAATACAATCGAATGGATTAAAAGACCTCGTAACCTTTACAAAAATACTCTAAAACTAATTCCATATCCAGGGGTAGTTTCGCCAACTAAAATGGAAAAATATCCCAAAAAGAGCACAAACTTCCCTCCTCCGCCTCCCTCCGGTCGCCATTAGACGATTCTTTCAGAAGATAGCTTGCTATTCTGAATTAACCAGGAATGTTCGTTTCAAGGATTTTTTCTCGGATTTCGAGAAACGTTTCGATTCACGCCCGAGGCGTCCTCGTCTCTTCTCGCCACGACCAGTTACCGGTTTTGCCCAATAGTTTTCATTCTCTCCGTGAATCAATTGACAAGGTAAAGTTCAAAAAAAGTTTTTTTTTCCTTTTTTATTTCATTTCTTTAGGTTTTATGAACTTTTGCGTTTAATCTGGCTCTAGGGCTTTCGGAGCTCTCTCTAGACTAGTTGCCTCAAATTCATTGCTTTTCTTGTTAATTAATCAATTTGTTTTTTTTTTCTTTTTAATTCGGGAATCAGGGAATGATATCTGATTGGAAAGTGGAATCCATTGTTTATTTCTGTTTGTGTTTAGGACGGTGGGGTGTAGTAGGGCTTGAGGTCTGCGGGCGATTGGGTTCTGACTGCAAGTGTCATTGCTCTGAACTGGTGTATTTATGGAGTGCATATTTATTCAAGTTTCATTGTTTAACAGAAAATTTTGTTCCTTGTTCAAGAAAAAATAAAAGCATTTTTGCGATTGGATTTTGCTGGAAGTTAGAGAATCTGGGTGGTTTAGGGATAAAGGTTAATGGGTTGGAGTCTTCATACGGCAAGGTTTTTTCAATCTATTATTGTAGTTACATATAAATATTTATGTCAAGTCATCCAAATAATACCTCACCAGCACTTTATTGAATCTCCATAAGTAGCCAACTTGATGTTTTCCTTAGTGTTTGACATTAATGAGATTTTCTATATGTAGTCGGGATCCTTGGTCCAATCAAGAAATGGTCTAGCACCTAGGTTATCTAGATGAATAAGAAAATTGGAAGTGTTTCACATATTGAGCATGCATTATAGAGTGTTGTGACACGTTATATTTGAAAGTACAATGCTAATGTTGTAGGCCTTGTCTGTCACAGAGCGAATAGAGGACGTTATTGGGCGTTAGGTTGTGATGTTCTGTCCTTTTTCTTTTTCTTTTTCTTTTTCTTTTTCTTTTTTTTTTTAAATTTTGTGGCGTTAGGTTGTGATGTTCTGTCCTTGTTTGTCACTGGTACTTCCTTGACCCTAGAATTTAGCCCTTTGGTTATATGTTGTACTCTTATTAATCAATATTGTAAATGTCATATATAATCCATCATCGTAATATACATGCCTTATTTGTATCAGCTGGGGCTCATTAGATTTTTGTTGGGTGCATTAGTTTTTTTTTTTTTTTTTCGTTTTGATTTTGCTGGTTATGGATTGTTGCTTATGGGGCTTTGACTCAGCTGGGGTTCATTTTCTGTTGGGCCTTTTCTCCATTTGGCAAGCATGCTTGTATTTTCTTTCTTTAATGCTAATATAATCTTATACTTTTACCTTTTTCAAAAACAAAATCATAATTGTATCATAAATCATAGAGAAAGTTTAATTGTATTGAATTGAACCAAATCGTGAATTGAATTGTAAATCATCAGTTTATTTCCGTTTTTTTTTGAAATTTATCAATGAAAAGTTATGCTAACAACTAAAAGGATAGATTGAATTTATATTCTTAATCAATATCTATTATATATAAGGCATGTAAATACTTGCATTAGCTTCAGGTCCAGACAACCATGAGAGATATTTAGTCCATTTCTCTCTCTCTCTCTCTCTCTCTCCCCATCCCCCTACTATACTCATCTTTCCTTGCATGTGCAAGTGCACTGCCACTAAACTAGTATACTTAATACCATGGAGCTTACTAGTTGTATGCTAGAAGCATAAGATGATATAATCAAACTTGACTTGAAAATCGATTAATCTACATATAATGACTCTTTAACATACATATGATGGAAAATAATTTTTGTGAATTTTCTAAATATGCTTTAAATGGACCAAATAAATCCTATTCTAATAACGTTGAAACAAGAACTCCTTAAAATATTAAAAAGAAACAAAGTGATGACATGGAGAATAGGGTCCTATTATGAATTGATTCAAATTGCATGAATCATATAAATCATAAAATTCATTATTACAATGCAAAATTCAAATAATAATCATAAACCTTTTTCTGTAAGGGATTCAATTGTAAAATTGAAATCATAGCCCGTGAGACTCATGATTCAATTGTAAGATTCAAATCAACAGCACACTTCCTATTTTCAGCTTAAGGTTGTAAATGAGGTGACAAATGTAAGTGCCAATGTCTAGAGGTGCCACTGTCTAAACGTCTGACTTGGCAAGATAAGAAAAAACATTTACCCAAGGTAATTTTTGAAATTGGAATTTTACTTGAAAATATTTCTACATATGCTGAATTCTGTAATCATATGACCATAGATTATTGCGTATCTAAATCTAAAAGATTATTTTTGTTACCTATTGAAATTCTATAAGAAAAGATGGATTTCCATCATGCATATTAGATATTCATTTATGTCAAATAAGCAATGAAAAGTAAGACAACCATATGTAGAAGTGTCCCCCCAAGAGCCTGTGGAGTATTGGATTCTGATGTGTGGCTGACCTGACACTTCATCCATTTAGGAGAACCCCTATATATCATAACACTGAAGGTTTTCAGAAATTCCTCTAAAAGAGTGAGGGGAAGAGGAATAGGTGGTAAGGGTAAGAGCTGAGCAGTCTAGATATGGGTTAGTGATGCTTGGAAGCTGGGAGTTTGTGCAGTGTTGATGTTTCTGATTTGGGATTTTGGTTGTTGCCCAAGAGGTGGGGGCTTAGAGGATGTGGTATTGGGTTTTGATTCCTATGGGGTCCTTTGTTTGGATAGCGTTTCCTTTCTTTCTATTATCATCTGTGTTTCTTCTTAATAAAGTTAGTGGAAAGGCATGTGCCATGAACGTTGCCAGTAATGATAAAAAGGTAAAAAGATGGAAAGACGTTTAAATTTTGAAATGTTTTTTTATCATACTTCTTAAGTACCTTAACTGATTAACTCATAGATTAGATTTAAAGATTGAAATATTTGGACAACCATTGTTTGCAATCGTTGGCATTATATGATGCCATTAATATATTCTGATTTAACTTTTATGGCCTGGACGTGAAGCCAAGTGAAGTATCAGCACTATATATAAAGATTTCATCTTTATGATAAAAAATCCCTATAATTGGTAAAACTACTAACAAATCTTTTCTCACTAACTGAACCCAGATTCTCTTTAGTCTTCCAAGTAGTTATTTTAGACTCTTTTAATTTGGATGGGTGACTTCATATTATAAGGTGCACATGTTGCATCCTTAAAATTTCGACATAAAAGACTATTCAGTTTATGGAGTATACTGCTACAAGTATCCAATATGCGCTAAATTACTGACTCCAATTGTTCGTTCAAGATGGGATGCCTTCATGCTGCCAACTTGTTGTGATTCCTGCTATAGATTTTTGAATAAAGAATATTTCTTGTAATGACTAAAGAAGGTATTTGTTCTATGGCAGTGTTTCCCAAGTCAGGCTACTTGGCTTCCTTCAGCCCTTAATACGTTACTGACTCAGCAATTTGGTATCTCTTCCTCTGCTTCTCCTCAACCAAATGAAAATGAGACTAACCAGTCTGGAGATGAACATGCACATGACACCCCTGTAAATGCTGAGGCCACAAAGACAAGTGAAGATACTAAAGCACCAGAGAAAATGGAAGGAACAGGTTCTAGTTCAGAACATAAATCTCCTGCCTCTGAATCTGTCAAGAGGAGGAGGAGAGTAACTAAACGTACTGCATTTTCTGATTCAGATGATGAAAAGGAACCCTCTTTTGATGATTTGGTAAAACTTGTTGCCGAGAAGGAAGAACAGTTGAAGGCGAAGCACAAGGAGATTGAAAAAATGCAAGATAAAGTTCTCCGTACTTATGCAGAAATGGAAAATGTAATGGATAGAACAAAACGTGAAGCAGAGAACTCTAAAAAATTTTCTATACAGGTTGGTGGCTTCTTTTCACCTCTACATGGCTAATGATCTTTCAAATGGCACTATGGATTTCTCTATCAGAATATTTGGCTATGTCTACGTGGTATATTTAAGCTCTGATGGTGGTCTTTATATGAAATGTACTGCAGAGCTTTGCAAAGAGCCTTTTAGATGTTGCAGACAACCTTGGAAGGGCTTCCTCAGTTGTCAAAGATAGCTTCTCAAAGATTGATGCATCCAAAGACACCGTTGGAGCTGTACCACTTCTGAAAACACTTCTGGAAGGTGTTGAGATGACTGATAAGCAGCTTGTAGAGGTAAGATATTTACTCTGTCAAAATCCATTTTTGCATTTCTTTCCCCCTTTCTCTTTTGAGCCCTTTATGCCCTTATCACCTCAAGTAAACGTGATCCAATTTTGAGTTTGCAAGCTTTGTATGGTGTACTACTAGTTCGGTGGAATCTTACCTAGAAAACCTAGGAGTAGGAAGGTTGTCTGGAAGAGGCTTCCCCGATGTTAGAGGAGAGGATAGAGAGAATTAGAATAAGTATGAAGTGAAAGTAGGGAACAAGTTGGGGATGTCAGATCACTTCAGATGGGAGGGAGAGGAGCTGAAGTAACAGGGCTAGAGGAAGATGGTGTGACTGTTGGAATTGGGATAAAAAAGAAAGATTAGGGAGAGGGTAAAAGAGGATTGAAGGGGGGGGGGGGCAGAGAGGTAAAAAGTGAGAAATTGGGGAAGAAAGTAGGGAGTTGAAGAACTTTTCAACAAAAAAAAGGTAGGGAGTTGAAGAGATAGAGGGTGATATAACATTGATCCTTTCAAGATCAGAATATCGTCATCACTCATGACATTTGTAGAACACAATTCAAAAATTTGGTGAGGAGAAATAAAATTGAGTTGGGGAACTAAGGTCTCAATTGCCTTGAGAATATACGATGGATTTTGATGATGCTGAATGAGGCTTTTAGTCTACCTTGGCAAAACAAGGGGTGAATAGGGATCAATTGCAATGGGGTGTTGAAAGTTAGTAAGGAATGTAATATTTTTCATTGTTACCCACCCAAAAAGCAATGTAAGTGTCATACACAACTTGCATAGTTTTCAAGGCGCCAAGGCAAGGCTAGGCAACAGGGGTCACCTTGTCGCCTAGGCGATGGATTTTTTTAAGTGAAAAATACATATCCTAGGTAGTTCCCTAGGTTCCATAACCATCTTTCCTTAATAACTATCCATAATGAAAATTATAAACTTCTTGTTTATGTCTAGAAAATCAACATATTTGTGAGAAGAAAAAGAAGAAAGAAAAGAAAATTCAAAAAATATGGGGATTGAACCCCTATTTTTGTTATAGGAAAAGAAGAAAAGAAAAGGTGGAAGAGGAGGAGGAGGAGGAGGAGGAGGAGGAGGAGGAGGAGGGGGGGGGGAGAAGAAGAAGAAGAAGATGTGGAGGAAGAAATGTGTTGATTAGACAAAACATTAAGTTTTTCCCTTACTTAGTGGTTCAAATTCTGAAGTCTTTGAGGGTTCAATACAGCAGTTAGCAATGTTTGTGTTGCTTAAACTCTAACAAATAAGAAAATAATAAAAAGAAATTAGTTTATAAACACAAAAATGAATATTTTTGTTTAATAATGTCTATTTTATAATTATAATCTCAAAAAAGTAACAATATAAAAGTATTTTATAAGACAATATACAAAACTGCTAGGCGATTGGGTGAGGTGAGCCTCCAAGGGCGCCTTGTCGCCTAGGCATTGCCTTGACAACTATGACAACACGAGTCAATCACATTAAGGCATCACAACATTTTTTTTATGGTTTAATGGTAATGGTTCACTGGAGAACTAGACCTTATATCACCAAATGGACAACATAAATAATTTTGCAGCATTTGAACTATTGCTTTCTCCTTGGTCAATTGTGCTTATGATAACTTGACTCCTCTGAAGGGATGAGAGATCCATCATATGGATGGCCGAACCCTGCAGGTAGGTTGGGCGAAATTTCAAAAAGTTTCTCTCTCCCATGTGGGAATCACATTCCTTGTTTTAGAAAATCTGCATTTTTAAGGATCAATCTTGAACCTAAACTGAACCAGATCTGAAACCAAAAGGTAGGAGAGGGATATACTTGATACGGAGTAGCAGTAACTCTCAACGAAGGTGTTCACACCCAAGGAAAGCTCCAAGGAAAGCTCCCACTGAAGATGACACAGCGTAGAGTAGAGCAGAATCAACAGGTGGTTCTTCACAAGAACCGAATCCTTCAACAAGAATTTGATGGAGGGTATGTGACCACGACTTCATATCAGTTTTTCGTTCTTGATCGCTCCTACAGTGGAGAACGAATTGGCAATGGCAGCAGTAGGAGGAGGGCGCAAGAGCAGAAGATGGCGCAGTCTTACTGTTGTCTTTTCTCTTTCTGTGATCTGAGATCTGATTGAGTTGTTGTGTTTGGAGGTTCGCCCTCCTCCTCCTTTAATAGCCTTAAAGAGATTAGCTCCTAATCCCATTAAGAGTTTCCTAATTCAAATCCTTATTTGAATCTGGACTCTCTTTAAGAGATAAGGATAAGCCCTTATTTTATCTACAGATTAGATCAACCCTCCTAATCTTATTAGGAGTTTCCAAATCCCAATCTGTATTTGGATCTGGACTCTTTGAGTGGATAAGGATAATCCTTTATGCTATCTACTGATCCAAATCCTAGCTCTGCCCCTCTTTAATTAATCTAATTAAACCAGTTCGAATTGGGCTTTAGGCCCATTAAGTCCATGTGCTCACTAACCTTCCAAACTGTTGCCCAGTTGGGTTTCCTTGTATGGTATGGGACCCAAACATTGATCTACACATCAGCCACATGGGTTCAGTTTAGCCTCTGTTACAAGGCCTGGCCGAATTCACTGTAATGGACAGTGAACCCCTGCTCTTAATGAGCCCAACACTTACACTAAGTGGTCCCTGGACCAAGCTACCTTATAAAAACCCAGGGACTGTGGGCAGATGCAAGATTAGCCCATCAGGTATTACCCTCAATGGTCTTACACTTAACCTCTC